CTTTAGAAAAGATATGAAACAGAAATCTATTATAGATCTAACATTCATGTCACAAAATCTAATGAAAAGAAGACTTGTAAACTGGTTTATTGATTCAAATGAGACATCAGGATCAGATCATGAGATTATTCAATTTGATATTGAACTGAGTGAAAAACAAATGAGTGAAAATCCTCTTCTCTCTAATCAGTATAACTTTGAAAAAGCTGATTGAAAAGTAGTTGAAGAAAGCATAAAACTGTTAAAATCTGAAAGACAGAATGAGCTATATTGAAATTCTGAACAAGATATCTCAAATGAAACACTTGAGAATAGAGTGAAGCTTATTACATCTATTATTCTAACAAGTGTTAGAGATAATATTTCAAAAAGAAAATCTTCTGAGTATTCAAAACCTTGATGAAATGAGAATATCTCATCTAAAAGGAAAGAATTAGCTACTGCTAGAAGAGATTGAAAGAATGATGTAATATCTGATAAAGAGTTCAAAGCTGTCAGGAATGAATATTTTTCAGATATTAAAAGAGCTAAAACAGACTACTGAAATAAATTTCTTGAAGAAGCACAAGAGAAGAAAGTTTTTAAAGCTTTTAACTATACTAAAACAAGAAGTGTAGTAAAACTTCCAGCCTTAGAATATGAGTTTCAGAATGAATTATATACAGCAAACTCTTTTGAGAAAAAATGTCAAGCTTTTATGAGAATTCTCTTTCAGAACTCACCAGATTCAGATTCAGATTCAGAGGAAGAGAATATATCACTTCTCAACTACATTGATGAAAATGACTGAGAATGACCTGATCTTACACAAGATGAATTAGAGTCAGCTATCTTCTCAAGTTCTGTTAAAACTGCTGCAGATCCTGATTCAATTAATCACTTAATTATTCAAAATACATATTCCTACTTAAAGAATGAATATTTTGAGCTCTTTTTCAATCTCTTGAAAAATGAATATCATTCTGAATGCTGAAGAGAAGTCACTGAAGTGATTCTTGCAAAACCTAATAGAAAAACTTTAATTTCTAAGTCATATAGAGTAATATCTCTTTTGAACTGTCTAGAAAAGGTTTTAGAAAAGATAATAGCTACTTAACTATCTTTTATAAGCTCTATAGATGATTCTCTTTTATTCAGTGAACAAATGAGAGATAGAAAACAGTGTTCTGCAATTGACACTGTTCTCTCAGTTGTTCATGATATTTAAATAGCAAAGTATAAGAGTCTGATCTCAACTGCAGTTTTTATTGATATAAAAGAAACATTTAATTATGTTTCAAAGTCAAAGTTAATTCAGACATTGAAGATATTAAAACTGTCACTTTCTCTAATAAAATGAGTTAACTGTTTTATATCTAAAAGAATTATACAACTCTTCTTTGATGAAATGAAACAAGATAAGACTGAGATAAAAATAGAAGTATCACAGAAATCTTCAATCTCACTCATTTTATTTGCAATATACACTGTATATCTATTCAAAAATAGAAATATGAGAATAGTGTAATCTTTAAGTTATATGAATGATATTGATCTAGTCTACAGCTTAAAAACTATCAAAGAGAATTTGAAAGTAATTGAAGAAGCTGCAAAGAAAATCTTTGTTAGAGCAGATATCAATCAAATTCAATTTAATATGAATAAAACTGAGTTAATTCATTTCTTTTCTAGATTCAATGAGAAAGAACTATCTCTAACTCTTTTGAATAGAGAGATTAAACTCAGTGTAAATATTAAATAATTAGAAGTATAATTAAACTCTAAGTTGAATTTTAAATATCACATTCAACAAAGAACTGTCAAGGCAGAAAGACTATTGAACAACATAATCAGACTATCAAATACAGAGAGAAGTCTATTCTTCCAGGCTATGAGACAGTTATATATAGTCTGTATTACATCAGTAGCTGATTATAAAGTTTAAGTTTGATGAAATAATCAAGAGAATTTCACTGAACTCTTTCAAAGTCTGTAAAACAGAGCCTTGAGAAGAATTCTGAAAGCATTCAAATCATCTTCTATTAAAGCAATGAAAATTAAAGCTTCAATTCCTTCTTCTGCTATTAGATTTAAAAAGACCTGTATAAACTATGCTCTGAGAGTTATAAAGATGAGCTCAAATCATATAATCAGAGAAAGAGTCTCTTCTTCATTTTCATCAATTAACTCTGGAAATGAACTGGATTGAAATAGATTTCTTGATTGAAATGAAAATAATTCTTCAAAGAAAATGTCTTCTCAACTGTACAGACTATGCTCTCTGATTAAAAATCAATTTTTCTCTTTAAATGTTGAAAAAGTTGATCATGAGAAGCTATCTCTCTGAAGAGAAAAGCTTGAATCTCTTATAGACTTATAAATAAGTGAACTATTAAAAGAGAAAGAATATGAACAGCATTTGAAGAGAATTTCTACAATCAATATAAAAGACTCTATTCTGATTTATTCAGATGACTCAAAAAATGAGAACTTGAATAGATTAGGCGCAGGCATTGCTTATACTGAAGATAATATTAATTTTATCTCAGATTTCTGAAATCTAGGCTCTGAATGTGAAGTCTTTGATGCTGAACTATTTATAATAGTGAAAGCTTTCAAACTCATTGAAATAAAATCTCATAAAAGAGGAAATTGTTTGAAAGAGATATGAATATTCTCTAATAGTCAAGCTGCTTTAAAAAGACTTAGAAATAGTCAGATTTATAATGATTAAATGAATCTTGAACTGATCTTAAACTCTGTTTTGAAAATTCAAAAGAGAAGAATATCAAAGCTGATAATTCATCTGCACTGAGTTCCTGCTCATATGAATATTCATGACAATGAATTGACTGATTCAGCTGTAAAAAAGAGTGCAGAATTAAGCAGATCTATTTAAAAAATTATATCCTGATCTTTTATAAGAAGAAAAATAAAAGAATCTTGTTTAGACAAGTGAAATGAAAGCTGGTAAAAACAAAAGAAGAGTATATATTATTCAAGATTTGAAACAAAACCCAAGTAGAAATCTTGTTTAATTAAATGTAAAAAGAAAATATTCTCATCTATAATACAGCTGAAACTAGAACATGGCTATTTCAAATCTTATATACAAAGATTTGATGATAGATTTGACTCAATAGAATGCTCATTCTACAATACAAATGAGAATTCTGAGTATATTGTAATACACTGTACATTATATAATAGTCTCAGAGTCAGATTGAAAGAGAAGTATGATCTAAATCAATTAAATATAAGATTCTTATTCTCAACTGAGACAGGAATTAAATACTTAATAGACTTTCTATCAGAAACTCAAGCAGCTATAAGAAAATGGCTAAATTCAGAATTATCTGAATATGAAGAGAAGAAAATCAATCAGATATAGTCTGTTAAAACAGCTATACACTCTCTTTTAATAATTTGTTTTGTTATAGTCTCTCTTTACTTTATCTTTTTCTTTATCTTTTTCTTTCAATTTCTTTCTATCTATCTGTTTAATGTGTCTATCTTTGAGACTGTGTTCTTTTTCTCTTTTCTTTTGTCATGATATTGTCAAATAGTTTCAAAGTATCAAAAGATGTTAAAACACTGCAATTTGTAAACAGTTTTTGTATTCTGGGCTGGAATTTTCTGATTTTGCATATCTGAAATTGATGAATGTATAATAGTTAACTTTACAGACATAGAAAAAACCCTGAGAACTAAAGTTCTCAGGTAGATGTCATAGTCTCTGACTGCATACATCTATAATTGAAGAATAATAATAATAATAATAATAATACTTGATCAGTATTTAACATAATGCAAGGACTCATTATAAGCTCCGCTTGTATATAAGTATAATGAAAGAATAATAATAATAATAATAATAATAATAAAAGTGAAAAACATTAGAGAACATAAAAAGAGAAAGTGCAGAAATCAGTAATCAGAGTGAATATTTATATATGTAAAAGATAAAGCTTCAGAGTAGAAGAATAGAAACTCTGTGAGTTTCTCAGCTGATAACAGTGACCGAGAATCGGAGCTTTCAGCAGGAATCTATGAAGTGTAATGAAATAGTCTTATATAATCAAGCACAGCTCATCACAATTTTCATCTCTTTCTTTATTTTTATTTTTAGTTTTATCTTTATTACTGTATGCAATCTTCTATTTAATAAAATAATTTAAATTAACTGTAAAAACTGTATAAATCTGTAGCTGTGGTTATAAAGAAGAAAATAAAAGATTTATAGAATTAATATAAATTATAAATAATGAACTAAATCTTTATAGAGATAGATTATATTACATTTCTACAAAGAGTGTTTTATTGTATTGCAGCAGCAGCAATTGCAGCAATTGAAGCTGTAATTGCCTGCTTAATGAGTGCTGAGTCCTGGTGACTATCTATACAGGCCATTGCGGCTTTCTACACAGGCTGTTGCAGCTTGTTGAGGGTCCCGGGTTGATCAGCCCTTCTATCAGCAGTGCACTGGTGGTGACTGAGCTCTTTTGCCTCAGTAGCCTACAGATTATGAGACTGTTTAGCGTGAGCCCCGCTGTGGTCAACATGCATGGGTTCAATTCCAGGATGGACTTAAGAAAATCCCAAACAATATCCTGGACATTAAACAGTGCCAAGAGACATCCTAGGAGTGTGCCCTAGGAGTTAGCCCTTGAAAGAATGAGCCCTAGGAGTGAGTCCAGAAAAGAGGCCACTGAGAGAAGCCACTAAGAGGAGCCACTGAGAGGAGCCACTGAGAGGAGTACTCTGTGGTAGCTGGTCCGGCGGGGGGTGTTGGGGGTCCCGGGTTGCTCTTTTGCCCCAATAGCCTACACGGCTTCCTATACAGGCCGTTGCGGCTTCCTCTATGGGCGGTCACGTGGGGTGTGCATTTTTTCAACCAATCATATCACAGAATGGGGCCTGCAAGATCGCACCTTCTATTCTAATTAGTGGCCGCTAGGGCCCCTTTACATTCGTAAGCGTATTCGGAAGCGGCCGCGTTATTATCCAGCGGCCGTATGTTCTTCCGAACCACACAGCTTCAAGCACAGTATGAGGCCGTCCTAACCACAATTCTCCTGCTAGCGTGCCGCCTACGCTACGGGCACTCAAAAATGCTCCGCCAGCCAAGATTCGCCGCTAAAGGCGGCCGGAGCCTTGCTCGGAGGGATTGTGGTTGGCAAGCAGGACAAAGTCATCCATCTGCTGACAATTAGTGTTCATCTTCTGTATCGTCCCTTCTGACCGTCGGCATCTCACTTGTTGTTCAAGTCGAGCGAATAGGTCCGTCAAACCGCTTCGACTAACTTTCCGCGGCTAGAAGTTACAAGTTGGCAATTGATCGAGTTTTTTGAGCGCGCCGCTTGTAGGGGGGGTGAAAAGGTAAATATTTCGAACGATGCCGTCTCAACAAGCTTCCCTCCCTCCCCGCTTTGAAATTCAACTTTTTCACTGATATTCTTGGTCTCTTTCAGACCAGACCTGCAATTTTTCCTTTCTCGACCGCCTTCTATCACTCTCCCGCCTTTTCTACCGAGAATAGTTTTACGGGTGGGCTGTCGTTTTAAGCAGGGAAAGCCTCGTTGTCGACACCGAACTCCGTAACTCACGTTATTGCACTATACATCTCTATCACCCTTTCCTTCATTTGTCTTTCTTTTCCTTCGATACCCTGTGCTATACTTTATCCAAGGATATATTTTGGAAATCTGGCCCCCAATTAAAGGGTGAGGAGAATCTAAAGAGTACCACGTTACCCGACCATCCCAACCACAGCTCGAACTGGCCCGCGGGAAACCAGTGGACCTGTGGCAGACCGTGTCGCTAGGCTTCTTCTGGGTGAAGCAGAAAACGGGTGTACGCTGGGAGAAAGCGGCGCTGTTTGGAGAAGCCTCTCAAAGTTTGCAGTTTGGTCGCCTCTGGTATCAAATCTGACTATACTGGGGGAGGGTAAGCTATATTTATCCATCTGATCGAAGGCGTGGTACCTGGAAATCTAACGTGCATTTGGTCTTCTGAAGTCATTATTCAACTTTAGTAGGAGTATCCTAGCTGTGACAATTGAGAAATACTCGAGTTGTTCTGTTGAGACTTCTCCCAACACACCCCCTGCCCTTTCTGGCTTGGTAGCCTTTTATCTCCGTATTTCAATACCTTTCGCGTCACTCGAAGCTCTCAGAGACGCGTCTCAAACCAACCCGAAAAAAATGTCTCCAACTCCTCCATCTACCACCTCGTCGAGCATCGGCGCGCATTCCCCCGAAGGACAATACAGAGTAGTTAGGAAGCGGAACCGTGTACCGGTTTCGTGCGCACCGTGCAGAAGTCGGAAGTAAGCTTAATCATTCGGCAGCGAAAAATATATACATGTATCGTGGAAGATCATTCGTCTGATATCCGATCTCTCCCAGGCTGAAGTGCAACCGCGGCATGCCCTGCGAGAATTGCGTGAAACGCAGCGATGCCCCCTCGTGTACGTACGCCCAGCCGAAGACCCGGAAGAAACCTGTCAACAGCAAGGATTCGCCCGTGACTCCTGATGGAATGCAGAGTCGCATTGATCGACTTGAGTCGCTTGTATTGTCGCTCATGACCAATGGCTCTCAATCCACCGGACCAACAGCGGCACATGCAGCGGTTTCAGGAGAAAGCACTAGCTCTGCATCGCGGCAAGATACTCAGGAACTCATTGGTGATGAGATGGACGGTGGCGAGGAAGAGAGCGATACAGAGCAGGTAACCAAGTCATTTGGGGTGATGAAGGTTGATACCAAATCGCAAAAGACTTACTATGTCAGCGAAGTGCATTGGATGATGGTTCTTAACGATGTAAGTGAATACTGACACCCCCCGTTTCTTGATTGAACTGTGAACCTAAGATGGCTGATTTTCCATATTTCAGATATCGGAAGTCAAGCAGTACTTCATAACACATAAGAAGCAATATGAGGAGCATGTAGAGAAGATTGAAGCGGCGAATAATGAGCCGCACTTTGCTGCACCCCCCTTGCTTTTTGGGGCTATGAAACCTCCCTCTGAGAAAGAGATTTTGTCCAACTTCCCGTCGAGATATACTACTGATATACTAATAAATCGCTATTTTGATCACTATGACCCATTTACTCGTAAGCCGTTGATCCCAGTTAAAATAACATCTGATGCACTTGCTAACCTGCATCCAGATATTATCCATGTTCCGAGTTTCAAGAGAGAGGTGAGGGCCCCACAGTCAAAATCATGGCATTTTAGATATCTACTAACAGTGGCTAACAGTACGAGCGCCATTGGGAAGATCCGTCGAAAACTAGCCTTGTTTGGATTGGCATGGTCTTTGCTATGCTGCGACTCGCATGCCTAACATATCATGGTAGATCGGATGAGCCCCCAGAATTCCGAGGCAAGTCCCTACATATGGCTTCCACGTACCGGAACTCCATGGCTCAGTGCCTTGTCCTCGCCGACTATACAAAACCGCATTGCTACTTGATCGACGCGCTTGTTCTTCACTTACACGGCGATTATTCACAGGTGAACGAATCAGAAGTGTCGGTATGGGTTCTGATAGGGGTGATAGTTCGCTTGGCTATGCGGATGGGTTATCACCGCGACGCAAAGATGTTTCCCAATATTTCTGTTTTCCAGGGTGAGATGCGGAGGCGGTTGTGGGCGTTTATTCGACAGGCCGATCTCCTACTTTCTTTCCAGGTTGGTCTTCCTTCTATGATTCGTACGGGGGACTGCGATACAGAGCTTCCACGAAACCTGTATGATGCCGATTTCGACGAAGATTCGGTCAACCTTCCGCCCGAAAGACCCATCGATGAGCCGACACCGATCTCGTTCCTAATTGTCAAGACGAGGATTGCAATCGCGTTTGGGCGGTTACTGGAAACGACGCAGAAGGTTAAGGGGTGCTCGTATGAAGAGGTCATGGACCTCGATCATCAACTTCGCCAGGCCCATGATATGATTCCAGAACGGATGAGTGTTAAACCACTCGAGGAGTGCAATGAGTCCCCATACGTTACCAAGGCAAGATTTGTGGTAAGTTTCCTGTCACCTTCACGTCTTTCTCTTCCCTTCCCTTCTTTTGCCTTCTATTATCTCTTCCAGCAACTTTACGAAACCCATCAATCACCCTTATTTTGGCTAATAGTGAGAAATTAAATATGTAAACTATAGATCGTAAGTATCTATCATAAAGCACAATGTGTGCTCCATCGAAGATTCCTCAACCGCGGTCGAGAAAACCCGCGATATGCGTACTCCCGCCGCGCCTGCATCGACAGTGCGATGGAACTCCTCCGATTCCAAAACATGCTCCAGACACCGTCCAGAACCGACAATCGCTTCCAACACACCGTTGGCTACATAACTACCACCAGCACTCATGACTTCCTCATGGCTGGTACAATCCTAGCCCTCGACATTTACCAACAAATACAAGAAAGGACCAGGAACACCGACCGCAACTCCACCGACTCATTTGCGTCAGGAATAGCTAGATATCAGGAAGAACTTGCGATGTTGCGCAGGTCCAGGGATATCTGGAATGAAGTCAAAGATCGATCGGTGGATGCGTGGAGAGCTACTGCAATCATGGATGTGATGTTGGGCAAGTTATTCCCGAGCCAGTCACAGCAGGAACAGGACAGGAATATCCCGTTTACTATTGCGGGACCATCGACGGCATCAACAACGGAAGAGCGGCCGTTTGAGCCGCAAGATGAGAAGGAAAATGCCGCTATGACGTTGGGTCTACTGAGCGCTGGGATAAACCAGAGCCAGATGGGCTCGACAGGTTCACCACAGTTTGGTGACACTGAGCCGATGAAATTTGATACGTCTTCTAGTTTTGGTGGCGGTGGCAATCAGGGAGGAATGATTGACCCGACACAGCTGCCGTCGCCTGGAGCAAGTGGCCTGGGCATGGGTATAGGAATATTTGGCCAGATACCGGCAATGCAAGGCTTCAATATGTATTGGGTATGTGTCTTTTCGAGCTTTTGCTATTCCTAACCCCCTCGCCTCCCCCCTCTCCAGGTTTCTTTTACCACTTCCCATTTTCTCCATGCATCTACGTTTTATTTAGAACATTGAAAATCGGACACGTCCCTTTTCCCCCTGCTAACACCCGCTTTCGGTGCTTTGTAGGATGCATGGGATAACTACGTCCAAACAGCCACAACGGACTCGAACAGCCAAAACTGGCCTATGTTTGACATGCAAGGCTTCTCCCCAGGGCCGTTACAGCCATCCTCGACCCCACCGCCACCAGCAGCAACACTACCCCAGCAGCATCAATCGCATCTATCAAACCAACAACCGCAGGAGGAGCAGACTGGTCCAGAAACGACAGGCGGCAAGAGAGTATTTGCAATGCAGCATAACATTTTCGACGCCGGAGGGCGCGAATAACTAAACCCTTGTCACTTATTGGGGGGTTGCTCATTTGGGAATAATTTCCATTTTCTCTATGAAGGAAAGGAAAACAATGTGAGCATCTTCGTCATGCATTGGCCGGTCTGGGTGGGGTTTTGGCCCCATAAATTTTGGACCTTGCTTGCTCGGTTTTGATATGTTCGTGTGGGTGTGCGTGTTGGTTGCGATGGGCGGTATTGGTGTTGGCCTACGTATTTTTTTGTATATATACCAATTTTATGTTGATATTATTTCTGATATTATTTTGCATTGGACGTTGGATACTGTTTTCTTGAGGAACTAGGGAAATTGAGAAGAGAAATGGAAGAAATATGGAGTCTGGAGTCTGGAGCTCGACGTCCCCATTTATATATGATGAAATTTTGATGCTAGCTACTTCCAAGGGGGTGACGGGCTAGATATGCTTGATGTGCTTTTTTGTCGGATATGTATAATATGTTGATAGCCACAACGGGAATATTATATATATGACTACGGGTTTTTCTGACGTCTAGCCATTGTATTTGTTAGTGATTTGGTGTACTCGTAGACGGGACGACTATATTCACGTGACCCAGTTGTACTCGGAGTAGTCAGCCAGGCTAACCCAATGGAGCCCAAACTTAAATTCACCTCAACCTTATCGACTTTTTTTTCTTCGCCCATGCAACTTTTTTTCTTCCAACCTCATCCTCACCCTCGCCCGCCCTCCTTGTCAACCTTTGAAAAGTTTCTTTTATTCTTCTGATTGCATCTTCCTTTGTGTGATATACTTGTATATTGTTGTGATAATTTTTATTTTACACCCCAATCAAAATGTGAGATACCCCTTTCATTTTTCTCTCGCTTTTTCTTCATATCCTTTCAGGAAAGCTCATTAGAAACCTTTGATGGAGCAGGATTTCTCTCAGACACGTAGCATTCCGCGCAATCAGCGCATTTCCGACTGGTTTTGCCGTTAAGCCCGGAACTCTAGCTGCACTTGGCCCATCGCTCCTGAGATTGACTGCCCAGCCCCCCAAAGTAGCTTTCCAGCAGCGATCGAACTTCAACTCTGCTTATCAGAGCGAACCGTATGATCGGAGGAGCGACAGACTGGAATATACTCGAAGTGTCGGTTATCAGAAGAAAGATGTTCTGCCACTCAAACCCAATGACACCATCTACGTTGGCAACCTCTTTTTCGAAGTCACCGCTGAAGACTTGAAACGCGATCTGGCAAAATTCGGAACTATCCATTCAGTTCGCATTGTCTATGACAGCCGTGGATTGAGCAGAGGGTACCTTTTATCCCCCCCCCTTTTCCTTTCCCCCCAATTGTCACCCATTATCTCTTCTGCGCGCTTGCTTCGTGTCCTATCTAACACCCCCTCCCTTAGTTTTGCCTATGTCCAGTTCGACTCTATTGAAGCTGCTGAGGCTGCAATTGCCGAGTTGAATATGTCCCTCTATGAAGGACGTAGGATCGTTGTCAACTATTCGACCCGCGGTAGCACTGAACCCAAAACACGCGCTACTGGACCAACAAAGACCCTTTTCATTGGAAACCTGTCCTTTGAAATGACCGATCGCGAATTGAATGAGATGTTCAAGGATATCCCCAACGTTAAAGATGTCCGCGTCTCGGTCGACAAGAGAACCGGCAGGCCTCGCGGATTTGCCCACGCTGACTTCCTGGACGTCGAGAGCGCCCAGGCCGGGATGGAGCTTCTCAAGGACAAGGCGCCTTATGGACGTCCTCTTCGCATCGATTTCAGCCTCAACACCAGGGATACGCCGGGTTACCGAAGAGGCCCCCGATCCTCGGAGCCCTTCGACCCGGAGGCTGCTGAGACCCAAGAGGCCACTTCTGAATCTGCCTCTGAATCTGCCTCTGAATCCGTATCTGAATCCACACGGTAGAGTCGGTTACCCGCAATATATTTTTTTTTATATAAAAAAAAGTGAATGAAGCTCTGGATACATACATTACCGTAAACTGAGAATGGGGGCATGCACAGGTGTCTAGTGTAATATTTTACGTACTATGGGCGTTCTATCTGTTGCATCGATTTTGATCATGGGATTGTTGGGGCGCGGGAAAAGGAACAAGATGGGTCCTCCCATGTTTCGTTCTCCTTTCTCTTTTCCCTGTCAACCTCTTTATCCTTAACTACCTTTAGCCTTCTGTCTCCCTGGTTCTCAACTTTCCATGCCCCCACGCCCTTTTTCATCTCTTTCTCCACTGTATTTCTTTCTAAAATTGTAAATTATACTTGCATGTACGGCTGTTCATGAGTCTTTTGTAAAATTTGCTTTTCTCATCTTTTTTCTGCCTTATTTTATTGTTTTATTAGTACAGGCGGACTACTATTTTGTGGTTTTAGAATAATATGGCTTGAGTAATATGGTCTTAATCTCCTCTTTTGCAGAATGAACAACAAAACAATTGATGCTTTTGTTAATATTCCTCCATCGGGCAAAACATGTTTTGACCCTTCCACATGAAAACTCAAGATGGCTGACTAATGGTTCGCTGATTAACACGAGTAATGTACGGTATTGTATGCTACGCATGAGCTCAACACAAATTTGGTTGACGAACCAATCATTGGCCGTTCCACCGGTACCGATGTCAGCTTGCCGGTAATCTGGTAATGTTCGAAACACCCGAGGATGTTGCCTTATCGGGCCCTGCTGCTCCAATGCAAAAAAGGCAAATACCTTCGAGCCCGACTCAATATAAACATATCAACATATCCTATTCTCTCAACCTCCCCGTCTTTGCCTACTTTCTTCTTCTTCTTTTTTTTTTTTTTATATAAATTATCTATACTCACGCCACCTCCTCCACCTTTTCTACGCCGTCAGTCGACTCGTCCGGCACGACCCACGTGCTGTCATTCATCATTAACCTACTATACCCCCGTATTTTATCCGTCGTCGTGCATATCGATCTCGAACAACATGTCTTTCCTCAGCGGGCCTGAGTGCTCGACAGCAGGCAATCCCTTAACACAATTTACAAAGCATGTTCAGGATGATAAATCGCTACAACGAGATAGACTCGTTGGGCGGGGTCCTGGCGGCCTACAGGAGGGCATGCGCTCGAGGGGGATGATGGGAGGCCAGGACAAGGTAAAAACCATATCCCCTTATGTATACGCCAAAAAATTATACATATTATTCTGTACAGATTTGTTAACTTCGTTTGCTTTACAAAAAATCATTGATAGATGATGGATGAGTTCCTCCAACAAGGTGACCAGATGCCACAAGGCCCGGCGCAACCATTCGCCATGGAGCAAATGCGACGTGAACTAGAAAATTTCCAAACTGCGCCACCAAGAACGGGCTCACCCGCCTGGGCCGCGGAGTTCGACCATGGTGAACAGGCAAGGATGGAAGCTGCCTTTAAACCAGGGATGGGAAGAGCGTTCCCTGGGGGTCCCGAGTTCAATTCAGCAGAGTTTGCCCTCTTCCGGCAGCAAAACCGGAATGGTATGCAGGGAACGTCGGCCCCGGCTACTTCGTCCGCGCCGATGATGAGCTCATATCAACCGCAAATGATGAGATTTGGCGGTATGAACTCTGGACACATGGGTATGATGGGCCAGCCATACGGCATGGGAATGCAACATCATCACCCACCACAGCAATCAGCACAGGAAGATAAAGGGAAAGGAAGGATGGTAGAGCTAGACGATGAAAACTGGGAAGCACAATTTGCAGAGATTGCTGCGTCGGGACAGAAGGATGAGGATGCAGAAGCAAATGCGGCGATTGAGGCCGAGCTAAATGAGGTCGATAGGTCAGTCCACACCGAGGCTGATGAGTTCGGACGTTTTGAAGATATATGGAAGAACATACAGGCTGAGACTGCAGCTCGCAGACAACTGGTCGACGAAGACCTAAATTTCGATAATATGAACCTGGGCGATTTCAGTGAATGGGATCACTTTGATAGTACTCTGAACACTCATTCTAGAGACCCCAATATGGGCGACTACCTTTTCGAAGAGGAGAATGCTTTCAAATCAGTCAATAACCCCTTCGAAGAAGGCGTGCGTATCATGAGAGAAGGCGGTAACCTTTCTCTCGCTGCTCTCGCGTTCGAAGCTGCGGTGCAGAAGGATCCCAAACACGTCGAAGCATGGACGATGCTAGGATCTGCTCAGGCTCAGAATGAAAAGGAAAGCCCCGCCATCCGCGCATTAGAACAAGCCTTGAAACTCGATCCCAATAACCTCGATGCTCTCATGGGCCTTGCCGTATCGTATACGAACGAAGGCTACGACTCGACTGCTTACCGCACCCTCGAACGCTGGCTATCAGTCAAGTATCCTCAACTCGTCGATCCAAGCACGCTCTCAGGAGATGGTGACTTGAGCTTCACAGATCGACACATTCTACACGAACGGGTCACAGACCTCTTCATCCAGGCCGCGCAGCTCTCTCCACAAGGCGAGCAAATGGACCCAGACGTCCAAGTTGGCCTAGGAGTCCTCTTCTATGGCGCAGAAGAATATAGCAAAGCCGTTGATTGTTTCACCGCTGCCCTTGCATCCACTGAATCTGGAATTTCCAACCAGAAGGACCAGGTGCATCTTCTTTGGAACCGCCTCGGGGCTACGCTCGCCAACTCCGGCCGGTCCGAGGAAGCCATCGAAGCCTATGAGAAGGCCCTGACTATAAACCCCAACTTCGTCCGTGCTAGGTACAATCTAGGCGTCTCCTGTATTAATATTGGCTGCTATCCGGAAGCCGCGCAGCATCTGCTCGGAGCATTGTCGATGCACAAAGTCGTGGAGGATGAAGGGCGGGAACGTGCCAGGGACATTGTGGGCGATGGCGTTGACGAGGCGCAGCTGGAGCATATGATTCACATTTCACAGAATCAGAGCACGAACTTGTATGATACGCTTCGACGTGTGTTTAGCCAGATGGGTCGGCGGGATTTGAGTGATTTGGTAGTCAGCGGGATGGATGTGTCCGTATTCAGATCGGAATTTGAGTTTTAGATATTGAGTAAACTAGAAAGGGAGGGAAGGATGAGTTAGTTGATTGTCTTACGTTTGAAATGAGGTATGATATTTTGGAGAATATGAGAGAGGTATATTTCGCGCCTCGCATGCAATGTCAAGACCCTCCACATGAGCGTATTTTTCCAGCGCTCTTTGGATATCCCATTGCCCGCTGGGCTATAAGGTGTTCTACCTTTACTCATGCAATGCATCCATAGTTGATCCATTCTTATACCAGAAATGTGCTATTTACGAATAATAATAATCCATATAGATCCACGAGCTATAACCGATCTTTATCCCTGCTTGGCTTATCGAGTTTGTTAGCCGTGTTTCGGGCTGAGATATGCGCAAACAATTTTGATCAAACATAAAAAATAAAAGGCAAAAATATACGTAGTTGTTCCGGCTGTACATCCTCATATCATAGAATAAACTGTTTTCAATCACTGCTGTACGTTCCTCTTGGGGTTGTTTTATGTTTTGACCGGCCAATCCCAACCACTTGTAAATAGTTAATAATAAGCTCTCCTCAAGTCTCTAGCTCTTGCGTCACAAAATCCCAACCGAACAGCTTTCTCCACCATTTTGATCAAGACTCAGCGCCATCTCGGCCGGTACGAATATACTCATTTTAATCGTCTCTGTCCTGGAATTTTCTATATTTTCATCAAAAGCAACAATATAGAGAGAGAGAGAGAGGAAGGGAACTGTTCCGTGTTAACTGCCCAATCAAGCTTATTTATGCCGCTCCCCGCTCCCCGGCTCTCACTCAATCTAACTACCGAATCTACACAGCTCCTGCTCACCAGAGAAACGACGAATTGAAAGGAAAACTACGTGCGCAAGGAGTGGAATTACGGTTTTAGAAGGAAAAGAAAGCAAAAGAAATGCCACCTCTAACCGGCGCCCAAATAATCGCTCGCTCTCTTCACAACTTGGGAGTCACCGTCATATTCGGCATTGTCGGCATCCCCGTGGTGGAAATCGCGGAGGAAGCGATCAATCTGGGTATTCGGTTTATTGCGTTTAGAAACGAACAAGCCTGCAGCTATGCGGCAAGCGTTTATGGGTACATGTCAGGCAAACCTGGAGTGTGCTTGGTTGTGGGTGGGCCGGGAGTTTTGCATGCCATGGCTGGGGTGAGTCGATGGATTCTTCCCTCCGTTACTACATTCAGTGTCGTGGATGAATTTTCTACTATTGCGATACTGGGGGGTCCTTGAACGCTAACGAGTAGTTGTTTAAAACCATGAATTCTAGATCGGAAATGCCTCTGTAAACACATTCCCACTACTCGTCCTGGCCGGGTCAGTGGAATCGCACATGATAACTAAGGGAGGTTTTCAAGAAATGGATGCCATCTCACTCCTCACGCCGCACACCAAGCTTTCCGTACGGCCTCCATCGCTAGAATCAGTGACCAGTGCGATTCGGAACGCATATAGAACATGTTGGTATGGCAGGCCAGGACCCACCTTTATCGATCTCCCTGCAGACTTGATTCAAGGGAAAACTGCCGCGGGATTTGCATTGCCGCCGTCCGAGCATACTCTTGTCCCGCCTCCGCCTAAACCCAGCGGTGATCCAGCGGTTGTATCGAAGGTGGCGCAGTTATTACAAGCAGCACGTGCACCGCTCATCGTTATTGGGAAGGGTTCAGCATATGCACGAGCGGAGTCTTGTATCCGCGAGTTTGTAGAGAGGACGGGGATACCCTTCCTACCAACCCCGATGGGTAAGGGAATGATACCTGATTCGCATCCACTTAACACATCGAGCGCACGAAGCACAGCATTGAAACATGCAGATGTCGTTCTTCTCTTCGGTGCCCGGCTGAATTGGATTCTCCATTTTGGAGAAACACCCCGCTGGTCCCGCTCCGTCAAGCTTATCCAGGTGGATAGTAACGCGCAGGAGATCGGACACAATGCTGGAGATGCGGAGCTGGGGATAGTTGGTGACATCAACTTGGTAGTTCAGCAGCTTCTCTCGGCTCTGTCCGGTTGGCAGTATAAGCCTGCATCCGCTACATCGCCAAATTCATACCCATCCCTCCTCGCCGCCTCTGCTACGAAAAACGAAAATGCTGCACAACAAAAGGCCCTTCAACCTACTAAACCCAACGAATTCTTAACCATCCAACGTGCCTATCACATTATTAAGACTACTCTAAACTCCCTCTCGCCGCCGGAACAGGGCGACATCGTCTATGTCTCCGAAGGCGCTAACACAATGGACATCTCACGCTCCTCTTTCCCGCTGGAACACCCGCGGCAACGCCTTGATGCGGGAACATATGCTACGATGGGAGTCGGGTTAGGCTACATCGTCGCCGCGCACGCAGCGTACAATATCCCATCATCACCAGCCAGCACTAATGCACCGAAACCAAAGAAGATCGTGGCACTGGAAGGCGATAGTGCGTTCGGGTTCAGTGCGATGGAAGTCGAAACTCTTGCGCGCCACCGTATTCCCGCGCTAATCTTCGTCATGAACAATTCGGGCATTTACCATGGCGACACGAAGACAGAGGACGAGTGGAAGTCTCTACAGAATGAGACCGTCAATGAGGCCAATGCGAAGAACGGGCTGCGATCGACGAGTCTGCTCTATGAAACGCGCTACGAACATCTTGCGGCGATGTGCGGCGGGCGGGGATACTTTGTGCGGACAGAGGAGGAGCTGGAGAAGGCGACAAGGGAAGGGTTTTTGGAGGATGAGAAGGTTACGATTGTCAATGTGATTGTGGAGCCAGGGATTGGGCAGTCGATACAGTTTGGGTGGCAGGCGACCCAGGAGAAGGGGACTCCGGCAAAACTGTGAGGGTTGTTACTCCGTTACTTACCATGTATTGTTTGAGTTGCTAGTTAATGTGTGGGTGGGTGGGTTCATGTAATTATGATCTATGCCAGTGTCATACTGAATAAATTCCTCTCTATATTAACCATGTCCGTTCTGTCCCTGGAGATCATTCCATGCTATCAAGATATGTTGGGGGTCCCGGGTTGATCGGCCCTTCTACCAGCAGTGCGCTGGTGGTGACTGAGCTCTTTTGCCCCAGTAGCCTACAAGATAGAACCTGCCTTTGTAAAAGGGGGGAGATGATGTCACATGACTGATCAGATCATTTGGAAGGTTCTGTTGGCCCTTACGGCCGTTGCGGTTAGCGATCCCACTAGATCACGTGACCCACCACTATATTATGTTCCTGTAGATAGATCTATCAATACAACCTTCAACTATTCTACAGATTATAGCCCAGATGGCACATTTTTCTTTTTAGAACATTGTACCAACATTTTTTTGACACAGATAGTTCATCTTTTTTGAAAAGACTCTTACTCTTTATTAGAGATATTTCATTTTTTCTAAATCTATCAGTCAGTAGATTTATATACTTTATATTTTTAAGAAAGCATGTTCTTCATTATGAAGAATATCACTTTTTTATTTTTTTTTTTTACATATCTAGAAGAAGCAGAGTTATCTCAATGAGTAATATATCTATTACTTCAGAGTTCAGCTCAAGACTCAGAATCACACACTTCACTAGATAACTTATTAATAGAATGATTACTTATTATGAGAAGGCTTCTGACTTATAAGATAAGACTGAGATCAGTTTTCATCAGAGTATGAAATTTAATAATGAGATAACAGAGAAACTTCAGAATAAAGAAAAGCAGAGTCAATATTTATCTGCAGAATCTGTTTATTTTAACTTATTAAATTCTTCATTATCTCTCACTCTTAGAATACTGACTTTTAATAATAATTTAAATCAATCTATCTATTACACTGCAGGTAATCTTATGAATCTTATACAGATAATACTATAAAATCAGATAACTATAGCTGAAATTACTCAATATCTCACTATATCTGTTTCTGTACAAAGAGATACTATGAGAGATGAGTTATAAAAATATCAGAAGAAAGTTAAATATATACTAGATACTAAATCAGTGATTATATTTAATAGCTCTAATTATAAAGTCTAACATATTGATATATTAACTGATATGAAAGTTATTAATAAAACTGATATTTTATTAAGAACTTAATAAGAATTCTCTTTTACATATTATATTAACTCTAAGAAGTGAAGAATTCATTTTAAGTCTCTATATAAATGTATACTGTTGAGTCTTATTGAAAATATTTAAATTACTATTAAAATCTTGAAAGCTGATAATACTACAGTTCTGTAAAATAAGATTAATATTAAATATATAATATTACTAACAGAAGAACAAGTTAATATTTTCAAGAAATTAATAAAATTATAAGTTAAGAAGAATGATTATCTTACTTTTCAGAGATATTTTCACTATTTTATTATCTGTTATAAAGAGCTCTGTCAGAGTATTAAGAATATATATTATAATCTTTTTCTTAACAATCTACAAAATTATCAAAGACTGTTTATTAAGATATATTTAAATGAGTTTTTCTTCACTGATCAGAGACTCATTGTTAACATTGATATTAATAATTTAATAAAGTAACTGATTAATTGTACATTTAAGAAGATTATCACTGAGTGAAAAAAGCAGTCTCAGATCAATTCTGTGACTGTGAAAAAGAATAAGAATAAAGATAAGAATAAAAGCACATCTGTATAAAAGTACACTCACTGCAGAAGACATGAATATACTATTAACAGATGTTTCATCTTACACTCTGATAAAAAGAAAAAGAAGAATGATAAGAAGAATGACAAGAAGAAAGAGAAGAAGAATGACTTGATATGTTCTTAATCAGTAGTAAATACAGTAATTACAAAGATTAAGTTCTATTTCTCTTTCACAGTCATCAGAAAATCATTCTCTAGATCTTGATATTTGAATATATGTGTAAGTCTGAATATGACAGATGAGCTTCATTCTTTCTTAAATATTAAATCTTTTAATAATAATATCTCTGTTGATTCTGTGACTGAAGAAACTGAGTTTATCAAGAAAATTAAGACTGTCATCTTGAAGATTGAGAGTGATAATATTAACTTGCAGAATATTCACTATATTTCTAATATTACAGTTAATCTGCTCTTATTTATGAAGCTTGAAGATCAGAGATTCTGATTTACATTATCTTTCACTATTTTCTCATTTTTCATTTGCAGAGCTCTGAATGATGTTATTTTTCATACAGTTCAAATTACTTAGAATAATATATATAAGATTGATAAGTAAGAGTTTAATGAGAATCTCAATTATCTGAACAGAGCAGTCAAGTATATTGTAATAATATCTTATAAGTATAATTTTGACTGAAAAGTTGATCTTTCTGTGATCACTACTACTACTGTTAATAACATTGATTCTACAGTTCTGAATACAGATCTCAAGAATACAAGAATATCAAAGACTCTTTTGAACTGATACTGTAATCTTGATCATATTCACACTGATACTATAATTGCTATGATCAAGAATTCTTATACTGAAGTTATAATTAAAGATTCTAAGACTAAGTTCTTTTATAAGAAATATGTCAAGACAGGTATGATACAAGATTATTTGAAAACATCAATGTCTAGATCTATTTAACTCATTAAGAAGGTTTATATTAATCTTATAGATAATAGATATATATTGAAAGATCTCTCTAATCACTTCTTAGAGTTTCATCAGAAAATCAGATACTGAATACTTATTATCTGTGATGCAACTTACTACTGTTGAATATATTTTTTAAAGTTCAAGAATGAGACTGTTCAATACTTTGAGTTATGACTCAGATTTATAAGTAATCTCAGATATACAGCTTCTGCTTTTCTACAGACTGATATTAATAATGTTTTCTGATTCACATATATACACACAGTTATAAATTTATATAATATTAAATAAGAATCAACAGTATTATATTTATCACATTAAAATGATGTTTCTGAATATGAGATCTGCACTATTATGAGACAGATTAGAGCTACTCTTTTAAAGAATAATCTCTCTAAGAAGTTCTGAACAGATATTCTAGAGACAGTGATTACAATAATTAATAATACTCTCACATTTACAGTTCTTTACAACTTAAAATTTTGATTCTCTACTATAGAGACTTCTGTGATTCTAAGTTTATATAAGATTTCTTGATATGCACTTGTAAATACCTCACTGAATGTGAGGCATTTTTATTAATTAAGTACAGAGGTTTTTATTCACTTGCATGAATCTCAGCAGTCTGCAGATAAGCTTTATTATTATTATTATTATTCTTTCATTATACTCATATGCAAGCGGAGCTTATGATGAGTCCTTGCGTGATGTTAAATACAGGTCAAGTGTTGATTATACAGGTGTAAGAATAAGTGCTCGCAGGCGATTATTCGGGTGTTTGCAGCTTGACATGATATGTACTATTAACTACTAGAAGTATTTGCAGTAGAAAGATAAATGTAGAGATCAAATATATAATAGCATTCAAGCTGAGTTGTGAATAGTATTCACAAACTCCAGTCTATATAGTTGTGTGTAGTCAAGGGCTGCTAGCTCTATTGATTACACAAGAGATAGGAATAGAGGTAAAGAATCTGTGAGAAGCAGGATTTCTTACATACCTCCTCCTCTCTAAGACTTCATCTGTGAAGCCTTTCACTGAGTGACTTCATAGTCAGCTCAGCACTGCAGTGATACTCACTAAAAATCCTTCACATCTATAAAAAACCTCAGTGAGGAAAAATTCCTTGTTATTATAAAGAGAAAAGAGTCTGTCACTCAGTTTCTTATTCTGTAAGATTCTTTATAGTCTACAGATTCTTCTCTAACTATTACACAGATTCATCTCACATCTTTCATATAGAAGAGTTTCAGTTAACTCTCAATTATTTTTATAAGATTCTTATGTGATTATTACACAGATTCATCTCATAGATAAATCACTCTCTGTGAGATCATTCTTATTAAAGAGAAATATTTGTAAGTTAATCTTTTATTCATTCTTATAAATCATTGCTCTTTGACACTGTAGAATTATAAGGAATTTTCCATTCTTTCACTAACTCTGTAGAATTGTAGAATTAAGATATCTACAGTCTGCAATCACTCTTTATAGTTATATAGAAAGATTCAGGTCTATAATTCATAATCACTCTTATTTACTAGAGTGATCTGACTGTTCTACAGAATCACTCACAGTGTAAGCAAATCTCTCTAGAGTAGTATAAATATCTCAGATCTGTTCACAGAATCTCATCTTCTTTTTTCTTTTTCTGTAACAGCTCTCATTCTTATAAACTGTGAGTATTCTCATTCATCTGTGAAGTGTTTTCACTCAGATAACAGAGAGAGAGTGTTTCTAACAGTGTTTATATATTGATTCAAGAACTTCTCAAGAATAAAAAATTTTTCAATTTTAATCTCTTTGCAAACAATGTCTGATCACTACTGAGCTTCTTATAAGTATTTCTACAACTTCTCTAATCACTTTTTGTCAGCTGATGAAACAGGGATGTCATCACTCACAACTGCATCTTTATTTCTCTCAGCTCTGTCACTGCACCTGATCTTTAAGTCAGTGACTAACTCTCTGCCTTTCTCAGATCAGTCTCTGACTTTAAGCAGTGCAGTCTTCTTCTTTACTGTAAGTCTTCTTATAAGTAATTTCTTACAGATTCTAGCTGACAGTTCTTGCAAAGCTCTCAGTGTTGTCAGTGTCTTCTACAGTCTCACAGGCCTATGATTACTCTTTCTCTGTCTGCACAATCTCTGATGAGGCATATATGAATATATCTAGATTCTCTATCAATAATTCTCACATTGTGATGCATTTCTGCAATTTCATTATCAATGAGAGATGAGTCTCTGAGTACTTACAAAATTCAGGTAATCAAGATAATATGAATACTATGAATTTATAACAGAAGTTGATCTGAATAGATAAGCTCTCTCTCTGTGTTCTTATTGTTTTCAGACTGAATACTTCAGTATAACTGAAAGAGTGAA